CAAGGCTTGGACTTTGTTCCCTTTATTAGAGGATTATTTAGAGAACTCTGTCTGCACTGTTGTGTTGAAACACAATAAAGAATGACGCAATACACATGTTGTAAGCTACACAATCTTAAAACTTAAAAAACAGCCCTACTTGATCAATCAGCTGCAGCTACTGGAGGTATAATACAGTTTTCCCTGTAGAAACATGGATCATGTCGTCCACATAAGGAGCAAGCTATAATGTTTAATCTGTTATCAAAAATGGAGCCTTCCGATACATCTATGATTCTCCTTCTTGGAGCTTCTTGGATATTCTAGAACGTTTGACACACTTCTTAAAACCTTTAAATAAATTCAAACTTGTCTACAGTTCAAGTACAAAGAACATAAAGATTATCTGAATTTATAATTAATACTTATATGTTTATTTGTAAGAGTCTTCCTGACTGAAGTTCACCCCAAAATCAAACTTCTCTTTCCAAACATCATGACTTTAAAAAGATCCACAGACTCTGTTAACTTTGAAGTACAAACTGTTTTCTTTCTGCTGAACTGCACCCGCCTAGAAAGAAGCTCGCCCTCACAGACATTACACAAGCAGGCGTCTCCCTCGGCTGAGCTGTAATGTGAGCTTGTTACATGCTTCCTTTGATTGGTCGATGTAGAGACTAGAAAGCAAATACTTCCTACTTGAAACTGCTCACACCAAAGTTTTTGGATTTTTTTTTTCTGTTCTTGAGAAACCCAGACACAGTTTCTGGAGAAAGACTCGCTGCTGAGTTTTCCCAAATGTGTTTTTGCTACTTTAAACACTTTATGGCAGGTGCTGTTAAGTTCCACTACAGTCAACAGAAGTTCACACTGTCAATGTGTGTCTTTACTATGAAGTAGAGCAATGCAGAATCAAGCAGACGTGAGAGCAAACTTGCAGAAAGACTAAAAATCTGGAAGGTGTGGTTTTAGGACTAAGCAAAAGCCTGGAGGCAGTGAGGTTCAAATTCAGATGGAGGCAGGTGGAGGTCCACCAGAGTGATGATAACTCCATTTAGTATTCGTACTACCAAAACTTCACTGAGTCATTCAGGTTTATGACCCAGTTATCTGTGGCTTTATTGCAGTGGATGCACTCCGGGGTTGGTCTTCTAACTCTCAGGTTCTTCTTATACTGCACTCTCTGCTTTGCCACCATATCCTGTTTATGTGACGCAAGCAGATGGCAATGCGTCACCTTCATATTCAAAAGCCCTCATTACAATGCAACACATCCAACTCCGAGCACTCACACAGCAAATCTTATGCCCTTAAAAGGCATTTTTCCAACTGCCTGCTGTTTCTGCAGAGGACCTTCCCGT